CTGTATAAGTCCGTGGCTTGGACATCTGTCAACATAACGACAACACCACATTAGTGAATTTGTTTGCATTATAAATTTATTCTCGACCGAAGATGTCAGATTTCGAGCCAAATTCTCGTCATTTGCGGGAGGTTTTGATTTTCTGCTTCCATTTGAATAAAACTGCGGCCGAGGCTCATCGAATGCTCTCGAGTACTTACGGCGAGGCCGCTCTTAGTCAAAGAACGTGTCGTGAGTGGTTTCAACGCTTCAAGAGCGGTGATTTTGACGTCGAGGACCGGCATGGCGGCGGAAGAGAGAAAATTTTCGAAGATTCCGAATTGGAGGCGTTACTTGAAAAAGACTCGTGCCAAACGCAAGAAGAATTGGCAGAATCATTATGGGTGTGACTCAACAAGCCATTTCGAAACGTCTCAAACTCAAAGTAATAATACGCAAAATTTGAAATTTTTTTTAATCAGGAAAAACACGAAGAACCACTTTGTTCCCCTATTAATCACATGTAGACTATGAAAATTGTAAGTTATTCTGTAAAGCCGTTTTCGCACAAAATTGGAAGTGGTTTTCACGATTTATTTATCGGCGGCAGCGTAGGTATGTGATACATTTCCTTAAAAAAAAAAACATTTGCTTGATTTGTGTCGTCGTTGCAACATCCAAAACGCCGTAACGCGTGTAACGGATTGGTGTCGGTCTTTTTTCTCGTTACAGAAGCGATTCAATAATCCGGATGGGAATTCGAGAGTCATTGACGCCGAGAAGTAGAACGGGAATGATGCTGCACGGCCGCAATCCACGCGCACGCAAATTATAAAACCCAAATAGAGTCAAAGTCACACCATACTAATGCTCGGGGCTGCTGCTACGTCGGAGGGAGCTCAACCATTCACAAATAATAAAATAATAACGACGATGTAGACAAACTTGCAGTTAAATCGCCTGAAATAAATTATCCACTTCTTCATATTGCCATGTCAAACAGTAGTCTATTACGTTATACGTTTGCCTTCGAGTAAACACAATGCACAAATAAACAAATCACTGCCACGTCGAATATTCAAGATGAAGAAGTGGATAACAGAAAGAAAATAATTAACAGACACAAGCAAAATGCTCATAAGATAACGAGATCTTTTATACATTTGTCCACTTAGGACGCGAGATATGATAAGGAACAGTAAAGTCGGTCCTCTAATTTTTCAGCTTCGTCAAGGGAGAATTTATTTTTATAACATTATTAATAAAACTAACCGCAACGGAGGCTGGGTAATTGATCATTAATCCTTTGATGGAGCTGCGGAAAGTATTCTTGCTTTCATACGAGGATTCAATTAGCATAGCTTTATCAGTCATATACAAGGTGTCCGTAAAATCGCCTACTTCACTTCGGGAGGTGATTCGGGACCCAAAAACAAGCAAAAAAGTTCATACAAACATAAGTCCGGAAATGAGCCGTTTCCGAGGTATAGCCACTTTTATGTTCAAAAATCGTAAATTTTTATTTTCAATTTTTTTAATTACAATTTTTTAGTCTTTCAATTTTTCAATATTGCAATTACATTATTTTTAAAGTAAACATGAACAGATATTTAAATCGAATTAAATAAGGTGTTCAAAATGACCACCTTCAGCACGAATGCAGGCCCTTATTCTTCTATCAAAGGAATTCCGAACTCTTTGAAAATTTGGATCCCTCCTTATTTCTTCAAATCCATGAATTATTCTTTGTCTTAAGTCAGCACTATTATTGGGTGCATTTCTGTAAACAATTGATTTTACATGACCCTATAGATAAAAATCAAGTGGATTCGTGTCTGGTGATCTTGGGGGCCAGGCAACCGGACCTCCACGCCCTATCCATCTCTGACCATAATTTCGATTCAAATGATTTTGAATAGCCGTGAAAACAACTGATTTTGAATAGTCGCGAAAACAACTGAATTTAAGTGGTTGTAAAAACAACTGATTTCTTTTGAAAATAATGTAATCGTATTTACAAATATTGAAAAATGGAAAAACTAAAAAAATTAAAATTAAAGAAATTAAAAATACAAATTTGAAAATAAAAATTTTTAATTTAAGAAATAATCAAGAAAGAGGGATGCCAAGCGGATTCTAAATTACGATTTTTGAACATAAAAGTGGCTATAACTCGGAAACGGCTCATTTCCGGACTTATGTTTGTATGAACTTTTTTGCTTGTTTTTGGGTCCCGAATCACCTCCCGAAGTGGAGTAGGCGATTTTTCGGACACCCTGTATATTAGTAAGCCATATTATCAATCATATTACCAGTATTTACTTTTTAATGCTTATAGATGATTTTAGCTACGGATATACACATCTAAAAAATTTTATCTCATTACCATTTATGATAATAATCTAAAAAATAGGACTTTATGAAGTATTCACAAAAAGGCCTTTCGACAATTTTCAAAAAAAGACTTGTAGACTTTTTACAAATCTGCAAATGTGAAGTATTGATTTAAATTTCCTTATCTATCGCTGTGTATAAATAAAGATTTTACTTTCATGTCGCATATACATATGTTGATATGTATATACACATGAATAAAGCATTGGTAGAACAAATATTGTTTATTATATTACTTTGTTGTCAACTTATGTTACGATATCTCGAGGAACACGTCGAAAGACAGGAGCACGTGGTACGTAGTCCTTCAAGATTGAGTGCAGATAAATAATTAATAGCCAATGCCGAGTGCGGGGGGGGGGGGGAAATGCAAATTACCTTGTGAATATATTATTTATGCCATCATCGTGCATACAATTATCTGACGTCGACCTTTGTTTTAGATGAGGCTTCATCCACCGGGAAGTAACACGCCTTATAACGGAACACGCCTGTCCAAGTTTCTGACCTTCGACAAAGATTTACCGCATGCACGAGAGAAGAATCAGGTGTAGAGGAGAACGGCTGCGTCCAAGGACGACGGGGGGCCTTGTGTTAACGCAATGTTCGCGCGACGAACGCGTTAATTATGTTATCAATCTTACATGTCGGGAATGCAACTAAGGACGAAGTCGCCGAGTTCCTGTAATCCAATTAACAAGAATTGTGACCCAGTTTCGGCCGGGCCGGACCCGCTGCTGATCGCTCGCTCATGTTACCATTTACTTGTGATACTTGTGTTAAACGATTTAACGTTCCTATTCGGCTTAACGCAAGTGCGAACCTTCTTCACGCAAATGCAGTGAAATTGTTTTTGTAACATACGTAAAAAAAATCACTTTATTGCTTAGTTACATATATAGATAAAGAAAAGGAAATAATATATTTAAGGAAATATTTCTCTATATTTATACATTAAATTATTACCCACAGTTAGCACTTGAGAAATGTATAATATCCAATGTTATGACAATATGTAGATCAATGTACATTTATT